TCTGCAGCGGGTGATTAAAACTGCTCAGAAGATCTTTAATTAGAAGATAGTTTAATTAGATATGTTGAGAGAAGGTTGTATATATCATCGATAAAGAATTAATTGACTCTTGAGAATGTATGATGAACTTGTGAATAAAAGGAATGTTCTCTCCCATTTGGGAGCGCCAAATATCTGATATAGCATAATTGGATAAAAATGATGGAATATAAGGGCTGATGTACTCATTATACCAGGATTTAGAGATGAGTAGGATGAGTATGAGCTCAGATCAGGTTAGAAAGAGAAAAAGTCTTTAAAGAAACCCACATCATGAGAGTGAGAACACTCTCCTTCTTTTGACAGAGTGATTTAAACCTTCAACATTCCAGCTGAAACAATTTAATTGACTATCTATTATGCCTATGAGAAAGTATAGGTTTGCAAACGCAGATTATGTCAAAACTCCAGGTAGCATCAACTGTGTGTGACTGTAGCAGGTAATAGTTGCAATTAAAGCCTATTAGAATTTTACCAGCATCCAGTTCTCTGGCCCTCTGCAGATTATACAGAGGGACATTACCAGACTTGTACTTGAAGATTGTTTCTTCAGGGCAAAGCAGACAACACATTATGTCCTGCCTCTTGTTCTATTGTCCAGATCTGAGGGGTTCAAATCAGTTACAGTCACAGGAAAACATCCATCAGGCCTCTTTACAGCAGCCTCTACCTGTAGCACTGAACGACAGCAAACTCAGTCACATTGCAGCCCCAAGAAGTCACACTGGCAAACGTCATTAAAAACTAAAATGTTCATATGTACAATGTTTGCACAGTGAGACTTCCTTACTGTATTGATTGTGCTATATAAATAACCCTGCTTGTGAATGCGCAGCACACAAAGTACTAACAATGCTTACAGATAGAACACACTACGGTTTACTGAACACACAATGAGAACGAGGAAAAGGCGAGTGCTAATGCTTCACATTATACTGTGTTTGAACTAAAAACACACAACAGAGGGGCTGTAAAAAAGGATGAAGGTATTAGAACCATGACCACTAACATATCAATGAGGACATTTTTTCAGATGCGTCCTCTTTAAAAGAGTCAATTATCTCGACATCAAAGTCTCAGTTGCTCTCTACCGCAGATTAATTCCTAAAAATCTCATCGAAACAAGAAAAATTGTCTGCTGAACAAAAAGCTAGAAAATATAAGAAGCTGCTTGAAATTGTAAATAGCCCAACTCACGCTGTGTATAACCACTCTCTCTCTCCACTCACTACAGTGTGTATGATGAAATACCATCCATCCATCCATCCATCGCCAAACGCTTATCCTGCGTACAGGGTCGCGGGATGATGAAATACAAGTTTGGATAATACACACATGCAGAATAGAAAACAAACCAACCTATCAGACATGCCATATATCGTTGGAAAGCTCAGAATGAGCCCTATAAGATAAAAGTTGTCAATCAAGTCAAGTTGGATTGCAGCAAGCTATCTGCGTGCAATCTCATTGGTTACTTATATGTAGCTGCTCTTTTGGGACGGTGCATAAATGGTCATTTTGGTGGTGTTCCGAGTTTTAAAATGCCTTTAACTAGGCTTTGATTTACCCATGGTGTACTTGGTTGTAATAACAATAGAAGGCAGGATGGAAGATACTTTTATTATATAATTTTATTATTATATAATTTTATTATTAACAACAATACAGTAGCATGTTTACTTCTGATTTCATATATAGGCTACATATGTACACTGAACAAAATTATAAATGCAACATTTTTGCGTTTGCGTTGTTCAAATAAATAGCTTAGGCGAACACTTGTCTTTCTGTGAATTTTATTATTTTATATTGAATTATTTCTTCTGCAGAAGGACTCACAGCAACTCATACTGTATATGTACATGTATACTCGAATGAGTGAGGAGAGCTCAGTGAGCCTGTTATTTATCCAGCTTTATGGTCAATCATATCATCCCACAGAGACACGTTGTCCCTGAAGTCTGGATAACACAGAGAACAGAGATATTTTGACTGTTACGTTTACACAGATTCAGTGCCACATCACAGATGAGTCCAGGGTTACATGCAATATGTTTGGAATTCCCATTACAAAAGTCACGAAAACAAGAAAATTATGATAAATTACTTTTAAGAAAGAGGGAGTGAGAGGGAATAATAAGGTGGAACATTCAGACCCAAGGAAAACTTTGAAACTTAATACTTAATAAGGATTTATTTCACTTAATTAAAAGTAGAAGTACTGTCAGCTGAATGTGGGAAATGATGGGAACAGTTGGGTCTTTGTAAATAACATTACAGAGTACGGTCTCGACCTGCTCTATATGAAAAATGCATTGAGATAAATTATTTTATGAATCGGTGCTATATAAAGAAAATTTAAATGAAAGTTCAGTGGATTCTGTTTTCTTTAAATCAAAAGCAAAGACCAGTGACAGCCCAGTGGTGACCTGGTAAGATATAGGAAGGACTTCATGTTGATAAATGTCATCTTGCCAATAATGCTCAAAATAACCAGAAATATAATTTAATACCCTGTGTCCTATTTTGGTGCGGCACGGTGGTGCAGTGGTTAGCATTGTGGAGTTTGCATGTTCTCCCCGTGTCCGCGTGGGTTCTCTCCAGGTGCTCCGGCTTCCTCCCATCATCCAAAGACATGGCTAGGTTAATTGGTAATTCTAAATTGTGCTTAGGTGTGAGTGTGACTGGTTGTTTGTCTATGTGTGGCTCTGCGAGGGACTGGCGACCTGTCCAGGGTGTACACCGCCTTTAGCCAGATGTCAGCTGGGATTGGCTCCAGCCCCCCGCGACCCTGTACGCAGGATAAGCGGTTGACGATGGATGGATGGATGGGTCTTATTTTGTTCCTGAACCAATGTGAACTTTTAAACTTTTAAAACACAAAGTCGTGTTTCTGAAAGGGAAGCAAGGGAACTGAGCTTTTCTGTGTTTTGTCAGGGGACGCAGGACAGTCAGCCATTTTGGCAAAGACGTTGATAATGCTAATGAATTTGGCCCACTTCCCCTGGTCAGCTTCCAGGAGAGTAGAAGTGTACCTGCTAAGGCCTCGGGCTAAAATCTACACTGGTGATAAAGTATCCCCATATGTCAGACCTGCTGCTCCCTACCTCATTTATCTTGGATATATTTTATCTATCAGTATTTAAGACTATAATGTATAAGAAGAACAGCCCTGACTTATATGTAATGCAGTTTATCTCAGTTGAAGCAGAATAGGGTAATTTCTGTATTTTTAAAGATGGGCCCTATTTTTTTTACATATTTTGGGATCTAAATTACTAGTAGATACAAAACGTTTTGGAATCTGTGCAGCAGATGGCTTCAACCAGCAATGAATCGGCTGCAGTGGCTGCAACGCAGAGATGCCCTTTTCAATTGAAACAGTCCCCGCCTTCCAAAGGGGCCTGACTGACATGCAACAATTTAATAATTCACCCACCTTTAAAATAAACTACACGGGCGCACTTATGAGACATGGACATGGGAAGGGTGCTGCAACCCCCCCAGCACCCTTAAAACCAGGAATTAGAAATAATAATTATTGATAAAAAAGTGTTATACCAACTAGCAGCAGAGAGAGAGAAACAGCGAGTGAGCTTGTGCGGGCAAGAGACAGAGGGAGAGTGCAAATATGGACAGAAGTGTGGACATGATATAAAAACTGTCTGACCATGACGCATAATGTTACTCCGCAGCTCTGTGGTTTATCAGTGAAGTGTATAAACTCCACTGTAGACTAGAGTCTCTGTTAACAGTGGCAGCCAGACGCCCGTCTCCTCTTTGACATGTCTGGATGCTCACTGTGCTGCATTATTAGAAACTATGATTAACTGGTTGTGGGTCAGATCTCTCTCTCTTGTCCAGGCGCTGTCTCTCCCTCTACCTCTCCTGCAGTTCTCATGCGTTAGTTCCTGTTGTTGACTGTGTAGCTGCAGTGGCTGCTTTGATCTACAGTATTAAGCTGTCTGCTGTATTGCAAAACGTTCCAAAATTGTTGTTAATAACTATTAGAAGTTATCCTGGCCATTCAAATGACAATGATAAACATGAATATCGTGCAACATTTAGAAGTTATTATATATAAATGCCTTCTGCCAGCATCCCTGCACAAGGGAACACACAATAGAACATTGTAGTGAAGTTTTAGGTATACTATATTGTTTATTTAGTATTACTATAGTGTTTTTTATATGTTCTTTTCAGATGCACTATAGAAAGTTATACTATATTACTATAGTAATACTAAACATTTATTATAACAACATCATAGTGTTACTACAGGAATGTTTAACACTTACTACATACTATATATTACTGTTGAAATATTATAGGGCTACTGCAGCTAATAAAATAGCACTACAGAAAAAAAGCTATAACCATAGCTGGTGAAAAATACTATAGAACATTACAAACTTACTATGGGATACTACAATTCTTATAGTATACTATAGTAATACTATGGTTCATTTTGTAAGGGTGTGATTGGTTGGCACACTTAAGTCTGCCGTTTTTCTCTGGCATCATTTATGTTAAATATTCTACAGCAATAAAAAGCTAGTGGAAGGTCTCAGCTATAAGTAAATATATTTATATACAGAAATGTTTTTTAAAAGTAGGTGAGCAAAACTGTGCAGATAATGCATTTAAATTGAATTCTGAATATATACCATTGTAACTAATTAATGCAATTCATATCCTCGCTTTTTTATGCGTATGGGGGTCACATTAGCTCTTGAAATGGGCCCCCAGATGTTTAAGGTCGCCCCTGTTGCAAGGTATTCCTTCGGGGCAATTATGCCTGTCTAAATTACATCCACAAAAACTGCTTCTTCTGCCACTGACAGGCGCAGACTGTTAGACCAGCTGCCAGACAACACCCATTGTTTTTAAAAGGAAACTGAGGTATCGCTCAAGGACAATTCTCGCTGTGAAATCTCGTGAGAGGCGATTGTTGCAGGAAGACGCTGGTGAGTCAGAGCTGGAGAGAGGGGTGTGTTGTGTTGAAGTAACGTTAGTGGATTTGTTTTATCCAGAAGTAAAAAAGAAGAACAATGGTACGTGGCTGCGCATTTCCTAACTGTGCCAACAAAATGTCACGCAACACTAAGCACAGCTTTCACAGACTACCTCTGTCCGACATGGAAACGCTGAAGTTGTGGTTAGGTGTGCTACAAATGGATGCTAACACTCCTGTCCAGACGCTGCGGCTTGAAGACCATCGGGTCTGCAGTGACCACTTTGACCGGGATGACTACTGCCAGCCGAAGAAGAGAAGAAGTGCTATACCTAAGCACTTTTTCCTAAAGAAAAATGCTGTTCCAAGACCGAAGGGACCTGCTGCAGACGGACCGCAGGTAATGTCCTGAAGTTAATGTGTTGACCTGGCGTCAGCAACGTCACACGATGGCAGGATACTGGCAAAAACCCAGTAAGCCAGTAGTATGTGCAAAACATCATAAAGTCATGACGGTTTATAAAATATCTATACAAGTAAGATTCATATCCCCTTTTAAGCAGTTCAAATTAAAAAAGTAAATTTGTGCACATAAAAAGCAGTTGATAATAGTCCTAATAGATGAATAAGCTGACATGGTCTGTGTAATTTTTTTAAAGTGGTTTGAAATGTCATTTATGCTTATTTAAGATCTATAAGACTATTATGACTACACTTACATATCCTATAGCTACATTAGGGGATATTGACTGGCAGTGAATGATGATGGTAGTTATTGATTGAGCACCTATATGTGGCCTGTTCTACCAATGTCTGTGTTGAAAGACTCATTGAATAATTCTCTCCAGCACTGCAAAGCCATAGCGCTCTCTGTGTGTAATGTTGACACCACATATCCATACCATACTTATCTAATTTACTACCTTCACAGGACTTGTATGAAAGGAAATCTTTGCTGGAGCTGTAGAAATACTTATATAAAAACCTGTTCTTCTGTACTTTTTTGAGGTGATGTGTCTCCAAAAGCACCATACTTTGTCCCACAATCCACTTCTACCAAGACTCGACACATTGCACTGGCTCCTACATGGGCAGGATCTGTGGCAAACTCAGCAGTGCTGACATCTTTTCTGAGCAATTGACCTTTTGCTAAGCCACGCCCTGAATACACAGCTGGCCAATCACAGCGCAGTATAGGACTCTCTCTAACTGAGGTCCGACACTCCATTAACTCTAATGCAAAAAGAGTCTGATCTGGTCAAACGCTGTTCCTGGGGCCCTTGTAATAGTTACAGCAGCTACCCACAGAGGTTGAAAGCAACAGTAGCTAAGGGGGGCGGGGCTTAGCGAAGGGTCAATTGAAATTACTGGACTAACACTGAGAGGATATTGTGTTTGTGTGTACAAGGACCGGACTGGCACCGCCTCAACCACAGCTTTCACTGTCCCGCATACAGCCACTGAAGACATACCCCAAGTGAGTTGAATGGCTTGTATTTAAATTCAAAGATTCAAATTTCAATATGAATACATCATCCCACAACTATCCTGTCTCTTCAGATTCAACATGAAGATGCAGCGGAACATGCAGACAGCAGTGACGTCAGCATGAGCTTCGGGGAGATGTCTCAGGACCCGTTAGACGTCAGTTTTTCATCACCAGGCACCATCACGTCTTCCAGCCCGGAGTCTGGTTCTGTCTTAGGAAGCTCCAACGGAGAAACTCCAGGAGGATGGGCTGAAAGGAAGTGGCTGGTGAAAGATTCAAAGCTCATGGAACTTTTTAAAAGATGCCCCACGTGTGGCTGTTACGTTGATGCGAAAACAGTTGCTATACATTCCAGCCAAGTGTAAGTTCAGTAGGCCTCCCTGAATGGACACAGAACAGTTGGTGTCATGTCCTGATTGAAGGGGGGGGGGTTGAAAACATTCTTCTCATATGCGCAGCAACACTTTTTACTGGAGCAACACATATGGACATAATGGATTGGGCTGAACTCCTTAAGGGACAAATTCCAAAAACAACCCACTGTTTATGCCAAACAGTCAACCTGGCTCGTACCTGTCCTTCAGCATGCATACAGAGATCAGCATGACAAAATCATACAGCACCTCCTTCAGGAAACCTGGAACGGCAGCAGAACACTGTGGTGATGCCAGATGTGATAGCCCTGGTAAGCATTTTACTTTACTTACTCATTGAAATGTAAATATTTATTATTATTGTCATTTTACTGTGAAACAATATGATTTTTTTTTACTCAGGTAGCAAACACTCCACGGACCCCTGCAGTGTCTCTCAAGTTCTCTTGTGTTTACCCCCTCCTTGTGTTTCAGGATTTCCCCATCACTCTCTGTCCTTTGTTTATGTTGTCGCTGCGTTGTCATGGTTTCCCTTCCAGCTCTGTGGACTCACACACCTGCCTGCTATCAGCTCATCCTCCTGCAGCACGTCTTCTGGTATACTATCTTATGGTAGCTACACCTTGTGGACAAGACATCCTTGTGGTCATTTTTTTTTTGCTTCCTCTTGTTTTCAATAAGTAACTCTGTTCCTCTCTTTGCTCCAGGATCTCTGCCCACCTGCGAGTCTACCTGCTCACCTGTCTGCTTTCCAGCCTCCGCTCCTCAATCTCTCTCCTCCACTGCTGCCATCCCCCTTCCCCCCTGCAGTCCTCAAATCACTCTCATAGCCACTTGCCCACACCTTAACCCTCCTGTTTGCATTAAGATTGTCTTACCAGCTATATGCTGGTCCATTTCCTGCGATTGGGTTCTCCACTTCCAGTCCCTAACACCACCTACTCTTTCCATGACGATGCTAGAAAGGAAATCCTCATTTGGAATTGGTCGCGGTAATTCACTGTGCAGTGTTAGCCTATGTAAAAATAAAATGCCACCTCTGTTAGAAACATTATTTATCAAGATAGTTGTGTCAAAAACCATGGATGTGACATATCTGATAAGACATTGCTGTGCTCTTGCTTACAGAAGCGCCCAGCAGTAGTGATGGAGGTCACGGAGGTTCCAGAGAGGCTGAACCACCTGCTGTACATTGGAGTGGATGTAGGTGAGTGATACCTTCACTAATATCCACCATGAATGAGGTCATTTCTGCACTGCTGTTATGATGATGTGTCATTGGGAAGTGTCATCTAACTGCTATTATAGAAAATTACTTAAATTAACGTTACAGTCTGGACAAGCTCCAGCTACAAGACCGCGCATTTGACCGTCTAATGTTTGGAGTGTTTCAGACAGACACTCAACAACGTGCTGCTCCATGAGCTTCACTGCAGCACAACTGCTGTCCACAAATACGTGAAGCAGCACGAACACGTGAAACGAAAGTATCCCGGAGCACTTTGTCTAGGCGGCAGCAAATCCTGTTTACTTTCTGTCGCCACACAAGCACGGCACATTATCAGCACGAGGACACGTAGTCCTTAAAATGTTTATTGCCTTCATGTTAAAAGTAATTTCTGCCCCGCTGCTGTCATGGTAACGTAACGTAATGTTACACTGCGTGTCATCTAATGTTCGGCCGTTTCATATTTTCTGTTTATTTAACAGCCACGTATGAGCGAGAAAACCGCTGAAACTAACAGTACAGATGATCTGTGACTGTCTGGACAGTCTGTGAGTCCTTTCAGGTGTTCACTGATGCAGAAATACATTTTATTATCATACTGCAGTACTCAATATTGAAATGAAGTAGCCTAATTAGTCAGTGATGTGGAAATTTGATTCATTTTAAAATTTGCTACTATTGTCATTCTAATTTGCTTCATCAGGACGATTGAATAAAGATTAGATATGTTTTTGATATTTATTTTGGATAAAATGGTATGTTAATCGAGTATTCTTTAGAATAAGCAAAATTAGTCGTTAGATTAATCGACTTACAAAATAATCTATGTACAGCCCTACTGCATATTACTCCAGTGATGAAATAAAACAATAACTCATAACTATGTTAAGTAAAGTGGATTGCATATCAGTGACGGCAAAATTTGACCAATATGACACTGTTATCATTATTCTAATAGGATATTCTAAAGGATGATTTAATAAAATATTCAATAATTATTGAGTCAATTTTGATCTTTATTTTGGATAAATTTAATTGTTATATTAATTGAGTAATAAAACAGTTATCTTTAGAACAATCATAAATGAAGCTGTCAATAGGTTAATTGACTAATCTGAAAAATAATTGTTAGGTGCAACGCTAATCTCAATGTCCCAGATCCATACTCTAAACTTATGGTTCATTTCCTGTACTGTGAGGTCTCTAATGAGAAATGGGTCATTGAGAATCCGTTCTTATTTTTGTAGCCGTGTTTGCCTCGGTGGAAGTCTCCTCTGCATCATATCTGCGGCGTACATCGATGGGAGGAGAATGGGATTGAGTACACCTGTCATCACCCAGTCTTGACAGAGGAGCAGCAGAGAAGAAAGACGTGGCTCAAAGCAGATTCACCTGCTTTCCAGGCTCTCAAAGCAGATGCGATGGACAAGATTCTCTTTCGAGCCTTGAACAGATGACACTCTTCACACACACTGGTACACCTTGTGTACACAGTCAGATTTGTTTCATTCAAGTTTTCCTGCGTTGTTCAGCAGTTACTGCGCGAAACTCAGACGTACTGTCGGCACTACAGTAATAGTGCTAACACTGCTGCTACTGTTAAACCTAGCTCACACATTATCTATCTATAGGTGTTGAAATATTTCCATCAACTATGAGGTAATTCGTCATCTGCAGACGTAGCACAAACTGAGGTTTTCAAACTTGCATCAACACAGGATTCCTGGAGGTGTACCATTCTTCCAGGATGAAGTATGTTCAGAAGAGTCTGCACCTCAGATATGACTCAACCAGGGCCCGTACCCAGATGGCGATCATGGATCATAACGTTGTCAGACGGTTGGCCCTCTCTCTCTGTCCTCGTTCCGTCTTCAATTTTGAAATCAGACAAATTCAGCCATGATTTAGAAAATAGACTTGCTAGCAGTTCAGTCTGAGCCTCTCGGTTGTTAAAAGAAGCAATTTTTGTGAATGTAATTTTGAAGAGCACAATTTCCCAAGAGGAATATGTTGCAGCTGGTTCACGGCCGCCGGGTGAAGCTAACAACTGCATGGATTTGAACCCGGTTGGGGTGCTGAATCACCCCAACCGGTCGAGGCAGATGGCCGCCCACCCTGAGCCATGGTTCTGCTCGAGGTTTCTGCCTCTTAAAAGGAAGTTTTTCCTTGCCTCTGTCGCCTAGTGCTTGCTCTTGGTGGGAACTGTTGGGCTTCTGTAAATATCATCACAGAGTACGGTCTAGACCTGCTCTTTTATGAAAAGCGCTGTGAGATAACTGTTGTTGTGATTTGGCGCTATATAAATAAAATTGAATTGAATTGAATTGAATATCTGCTAGTCATTTCGACACCAGAATACATGAAAATAGCGTCCAGCTTTGAAAATACTGAAATTATCCTTGAACCGAAGCCTACATACATTATAGTACTGTGTATTATAAACAACTTATTTTGTCTTTTAGTTTGGAGGGCTTGTTGGACTTCTTTTTGCAATTCTACCTTAAAGCTAATTCTCTATAATATCATTAATAAATATAAATAAATACATAATACAGAAAAACACATGAAAGGAACCCCTTTTTGAACACTGACAGCACTATGGAGCCATGTTTTTATTAGTGGAGTTGCTGGTCTAGGCATAGTGCATGCTGGAGCCAATCCCAGCTGACAACGGGCGCAAGGCAGGGTGCATCCTGGACAGGTCGCCAGTCCATTGTAGGGCCAGGAACCAAAACCACAAACAGAAAACATGGACCAACTGCTAAAGTTGAAACTAAACAGGACAAAGGCCAAACAGGGAGTTCAAACAGGACAGCAACAGGGAGTTCAACGCAAGGCGTTAAACACAAACAACACAAACAGGGACTGAGCTAATGACACAGAGTGGCTAAGGACAACAAGGTAACAGGACAACACTGACAAACTCAACCACAGACAAGATAACTGAACAAAAAAACACACGGCGATAATAACCAAACAGATGACAAATCAGGCAGAGCTCACAATGACAACAGACTGGACACAGGACAACAGACCGGACTGAACCCTAAAACACAACATATAAAACAACAGATCAAACGGAACAAAAACTCACAGAGGGCCAAACTAAAACATGGCCGACAGGCAGAATGTGACACAAATCTCCTCTGTTTCTACATACACACTGGGTAGTACCAAAGTCTTTATGGGCAAGTCATGCCACTCGGCAGCCATCATGAAAAATACCTCCGGGAAGCTATTTTGGACAAGACCGGGCTCCTATCTGAGTGGCCTGGCGTCAAAAGTAGCTGAAATCTACCTGTTTCACTAATATCAATCATCGCTTTACACACATGAATTGTCCCCTCCATTTTTTTCAGGTAGTCGCACAGATTCTCTTCTTGCACTCCAGAGATTCTTGCTGTTTCTCGCCAAATGCCATACAGTGATTGGATGACACAAGTAGACTCTTGAATCGCTGTATTGCATTGTTTGAAGTTCATTGGATGTAAACTAAATTCCATAAAAATATAGTCTATTTTCCTCTGTTACACATGTGCAGGAGAACACACAGAAATGCGTACAAGCATGCAGGTGATGAAATGCACCAAAACTTCTCTGAACCTGCACAGGAGTTGTGAGAGGGGTAAAACAGAAATAAAATAACAGACTTTTTGTTTATGACCAAATGGAAAATTCATTATTTTCTATACCAATTAATTTAATAGGTTAGTTTTTTTTTTGTATTCGAAGGAAATAAAAAGGCCATTGGTTTAAAAAAAAAAAAGTTAAGTTATGAATAACATTAAGAAACTATTATTGCCAGAAGAAATGTTTTCGTTTTCAGTTGAGTTTTATTTATATATTGCCAATTCATAACAGAATTTATCTCATTGCAGTTTTCATATATAGCTGGTCTAGACCACATTCTTTGTGGTATTCTTTATAGAGATCCTACAATTAGATAAACTCCCTTTTAACAGGTAGAAAGCTCAAACAGAACCTAGAAAATGAATAACAGTAGTAATGACAGTAATAGTACACTCACCTAAAGGATTATTAGGAACACCATACTAATACTGTGTTTGACCCCCTTTGGCCTTCAGAACTGCCTTAATTCTACGTGGCATTGATTCAACAAGGTGCTGAAAGCATTCTTTAGAAATGTTGGCCCATATTGATGGATAGCATCTTGCAGTTGATGGAGATTTGTGGGATGCACATCCAGGGCACGAAGCTCCCGTTCCACCACATCCCAAAGATGCTCTATTGGGTTGAGATCTGGTGACTGTGGGGGCCATTTTAGTACAGTGAACTCATTGTCATGTTCAAGAAACCAATTTGAAATGATTGGAGCTTTGTGACATGGTGCATTATCCTGCTGGAAGTAGCCATCAGAGGATGGGTACATGGTGGCCATAAAGGGATGGACATGGTCAGAAACAATGCTCAGGTAGGCCGTGGCATTTAAACCATGCCCAATTGGCACTAAGGGGCCTAAAGTGTGCCAAGAAAACATCCCCCACACCATTACACCACCACCAGCAGCCTGCACAGTGGTAACAAGGCATGATGGATCCATGTTCTCATTCTGTTTACGCCAAATTCTGACTCTACCATCTGAATGTCTCAACAGAAATCGAGACTCATCAGACCAGGCAACATTTTTCCAGTCTTCAACTGTCCAATTTTGGTGCGCTCTTGCAAATTGTAGCCTCTTTTTCCTATTTGTAGTGGAGATGTACCCGGTGGGGTCTTCTGCTGTTGTAGCCCATCCGCCTCAAGGTTGTGCGTGTTGTGGCTTCACAAATGCTTTGCCGCATACCTCGGTTGTAACGAGCGGTTATTTCAGTCAAAGTTGCTCTTCTATCAGCTTGAATCAGTCGGCCCATTCTCCTCTGACCTCTAGCATCAACGAGGCATTTTCACCCACAGGACTGCCGCATACTGGATGTTTTTCCCTTTTCACACCATTCTTTGTAAACCCTAGAAATGGTTGTGCGTGAAAATCCCAGTAACTGAGCAGATTGTGAAATACTCAGACCGGCCCGTCTGGCACCAACAACCATGCCACGCTCAAAATTGCTTAAATCACCTTTCTTTCCCATTCTGACATTCAGTTTGGAGTTCAGGAGATTGTCTTGACCAGGACCACACCCCTAAATGCATTGAAGCAACTGCCATGTGATTGGTTGATTAGATAGTTGCATTAATGAGAAATTGAACAGGTTTTCCTAATAATCCTTTAGGTGAGTGTATATGATAATAGAAATAGGACTAATAATAATGTAATAATAATGTTATAGTCTTGGATGTTGAGCAGGAACATGGGGGCAGGAAGCCCGTTACCACAGATCCAAACTCCTCAGCTCTGGAGGCAGAATCACCGGCATAAGAGGAGAGGAGCGGAGAGGAAAAGTAAGCACAAAACTACAGGAGAGGGAAGAAGTTGATTAAGTAACATGCATTAATGGGATAAGAATGTATACAGATGGAGAAGATGAGCAGGAGAGAGGAGCTCAGTGCATCATGGGAAATCCCCCAGCAGTCTAGGCCTATAGCAGCATAACTAAGGGATGGTTCAGGACTCACCTGAGCCAGCTCTAACTATAAGCTTTATCAAAGAGGAAAGTCTTAAGCCTACTCTTAAATGTGGAGATGGTGTCTGCCTCCTGAACCCAAACTGGAACCTGGTTCCACAGGAGAGGAGCTTGATAGCTGAACGCTCTGGCTCCTAGTCTACTTTTGGAGACTCTAGGAACCACAAGTAACCCTGCTGTCTGTTGCCTGACCATTAAGCGCTTTGTAGGTGAACAAAAGAATTTAAAATTCTATTCTGGTCTCAAGGGACTTATTTGAGCAGCCTGATAATAGAGAATTGCAATAATCCAGCCTTTTGATAGCTAAAAATGTGCTTCTGTTATACTGTACAGACAACCCTATTTATCTTGTACCTCTTTTCAGTGTCCAACAATTCATACAAATAAAGTTATTTGTACAACTGAGTCTTTTAATGATACTATATTTGAATTAAGAATAATGTATATTTAGAGATTGGGCAAAAAGATCAAACAAATCAGAAGATTATCTTCCTGAAGAGGTTTCAAGGTTGTTTATGGCTTTAAAATCAATAGTCATCCTATTATATAGAAAAAAGTATGGAGGGAAAGATGTCTCTGTAATAGGAGGAACAGTGCCTCTATCTGAATCAGAGCCATTCAAACTCATAACACCAACACAAGCCTGATGGCTCATAACAGTAGACAGAATCCATAGAAGTTCTTTCAAACTGATAGATAGATGAAATGCGTGTGGCTTCAGGTAATACTCTGATTGACCTCTCTAAATCACAATCACACTTCTTTGAATGTCCAATAAGCAGGAGAGCTATAGAGTACTAACACTCCAGGTGCCTCTTAAGAAAGGTCTGAGACACGTCTGAGGTAAGATGTGGATTTGATCTACTCTTAGCCAGGGGTGAAAGTAGGTCAGCATGGTCAGATTCAGTGCTGGTGCATGGTACCATGAAGAGGAGCGCCCACCTGCATATACGCAAGAGTGGTGTACTATGAAGCGTTTTCTGGCTCGACAAAACCTAAAATCTAGATAATGGGTATCATGACGGTAGTTATCAACTTTCTTTGTTTTCTTCATCAGGCTTTGTGCACATTCCCAGAAAAGGGAGCGTCTGATGTGCCATTTGACTTGTCTTCTGCACATAATGGAACAATAGTGTGCCACCTACTTTAGTGAAGAGGAACAGGTTGTTATAATCAATAGCTACATTACAACAAAAAGCAACTCTGTTTCTGCAAAGAAGGCAAGAAAATTGTTAATTGATTCAATACACTCTGAATGCCTGTTCATTTCTAACAGCTGCACATTATAGAGCTTTTAAACTTGAAACTTGATACAGCATGAACATCATACTCAAGAATTGCATTTAGGTCTGACACTGTCCCTCGTTGGAATCACTTTAGTTTTTGACCAGATCAAAGTGAAATTAATTTCATTGATTTAATATTATATGTGATACCAATAGACTAATTCAAAGTGTAAAACGGACTTCCAATATGCATTTAAATACAGAACTGCACCTGTAAAAACATTTGACAACTTAGGGCAGCAGAAACAAGCTGTGAACACCATAACCAGCAATTGCTTCATTAACTGGAAGCGTGGCCTTGACTCCTTTTTAGAACATGACCGAACACAT